TTCAGTGATAAGAGTATTCTGATAAGATGAATGAGTTCACTTGAGAATTATCTGAGCAGATAAGATATCTGTAGAAGCTGAGATATAACTTTCATACTACAAACTCTGATAAGTCAGAATGATGCAGTCTTCACTAAGAACCTGATTATAATAAAGATATTAACACTGTCATTTACAAATTCTAGTCTATAAGATAATAAGTTTCTACTGAGATGAACAGTCTACAGTATATATAAGAGAAGAAGAAATCATATTCTTATTAAAGTTAAAAAACAAGAAAACAAACAGAGCTGTAAATACAATTTAAAGATTAATAAAGAAAAAACAAAGAAAACTCATACTCATATTATTAACATCTGCAATACTCAATTCTCTCACAACTATCAATTTCTCTCTTCAAAGAAGTAGAAAGTATCATACTCACAGTACAGACAATTATTACATTTGATACAAAGACTGTCAGAAATGCACAGACTTCAGAGAAGCTGAATATTAGAGTGCACACAGTTACAGCAGAATCTTGAGAACTGGTCATCTATGCATATAATCAGATACTTCTTACAAAGCTGTGTTCACTCTCTCAGTTATACTGAAGTATTCAGTCTGAAAATAATTAAGATATGAAGAGAAGCCTCATCTATTCAGATCAACTCTCATCATGAATTCATGACATTCACATTGTCTTGATTACCCGGATTTTATAAGTATTCAGAGACTTATCTCTCTGTAAGAAATCCCGCTTCTCACGGATTCTTTACCTCTATTCCTATCTCTTGCATAATCAATAGGGCTAGCGGCCCTTGGCTACACACAACTATATAGACTGGAGTTCGCAAATACTATTCACAACTCAGCTTGAATACTATTATATATTTAATCTCTACATTTTATCTTTCTATCATGAATACTTCTAGTAGTTAACAGTACATATCACATCAAGCTGCAAACACCTGAATAATCACCTGTAAGCACTTATTCTTACATTTCAAGCTCAGTCAGTCAGCAATCACCTGTTATAACTGAAAGAACTAGAAACTCACATGCTTCAACTTCTGTGAACTCTACTGCAGATACTCAGAAGCAGTCATCTGAACTATGAATAACTCTCATAAAAGAAGTCTCAGAGAACTTATCAATCACTTACAGAACATTATTCTCTGCATCTGTGACAGAGAAATTCTCAAAACTCATGAATAAATTAATCTCAGTGAAGAACATTCTTGAGCATCTTCTGTGAGATCAAGCTATTTTTCTATAAGAAATACTTACTGTTCACAAACATTCTTGAACTGAGTCTCTAGACATGATCTTCAGAGACACCTGCAAACTGAAAAGAAACTTTCTTAAGTTATAATCACTTAAGATCACTTATTGAATTACAATCTATAAAAGCTTTTATAAGTTTGTATTTGAAATTAACTCATAAGCTCAGCTGTGTGATATGAAAGATGAAGAAGCTGTCATCTATGCAATGACAGACCTCTATTACACTGAAGTCAAGAACTGGCTGAATCATCTAGAGAATGATTATGAGAGATTCTGATAATCTGTTCTCAAGACCTATCTAGAGAATAAGTTAAGAAACTTCATAAGCTGAACAGAGAACACCTGAACTGTAATCATCAATATTAGAAAAAGAGATAAGAAATCTGATAAAGACTACTCATAGCACTTTATAAAATTATGATATGAATTGAGATCTGTGAAAACAGAGCTCTGAAACAAGACCTGAATAATAATATTTATAAAGAAGCTGAATAAAGATATACAGAACAAGCTCATTGAGTAAGACTCTAAGTTCTTGATTCTGAAGAAACTGATAACTCTTATTCATCACTTATAGATCACTGTGAGAGTCACAGATCTGCAGAGAGTAGATCACTAACTAGCTCTGTGAGAGCTAGAACAACAGAGAACAGATTTATTAGAAAAGAATGATAAGACATAGAGAGATTTGTATCTGACTACTGAGCAGAGAGAGAGAGCTTCACAAGCTTCTGTAAACAGAGTATATAACAGAGAGATCAAGAAAAAGAGACTCTGCTTCATCTGTTCTAAGTCAGAATATCTTCACACAAACTGTCTGAATAAATTAAAATAGAAATTTAAGAAGTCACAGACAGAGTCAGCAACAGCCTTCTTAAGAGTCTTGAAGCTGACATCTGAATCTGTTACTCTCTCAATAAAAATGCTTACTCACAGAGAGAGATTATATCATGATACTGCTACTTCACAAGCATGAGAAGTATTGATAAACTCAGAATCTCAGATCACTGTGATGTCTCTAAAGCTCACAGAGTGAATGAGCTGAAAGATGAAAACTGAAAACCTGCTCTTATAATAAGCAGAGTGTGAGAACTCAGATCTGAGAACTGAGAAACTTACAAGAGTCATCTTTGAATTGCAAAATCTCTCTGAAATCTGAAGAAGATTTACAGAAACTGTGATTATCACAGACATCACAGATGACATGTACTTGAGACTTGTATAACTTTAAAGACACAATTCATACATAGCTGTTCATGAGTCAGGTTTATACTTTCAATCAGTGTTGACAGACTCACTTATGAAGATAGAATCAGTTAATACTACAGAGTTAATTAGAGAAGATAAGCTCATCTATGTAATGACTTTATAAGTGTCTGAGAATCTTGCAGTCATAGAAACTGAGTTTCAGATATCAGAAGAATACTGAGATCTTACAGAGATATTCAGCTCAGTAAAGACAGCTGAGCTTTCTTCTCACTGTAAGAAGAATCTGATAATAGATTTAATAGAAGAGTAGAAACTCTTCTAAGAATCAATCTATAAGCTCTCTCATTATGAGACAGAGGTCTTGCAGATCTATATGAAGAAGAATCTGAAGAATAACTTTATCTGATCTTCACAAATCTTCATAAGAGCCTAGACTGACCGTGTGACTGTGTCTGAGACCAGGACCAAACTTTACAGTTATCATATTGCCTAAAAGCATTACTTCTGATCATGGTTTGTGTTCATCACATTAATCTCAAATCACATTATTTCAAATATTAAAGGTCTCAGATTCACTTTTCAAATAAAAATCTAGTTCTGAATAAAGAATATGTTTGAATTCTTAGTCACATTTTCATTCTGATCTCATTATTGAGAATGGCATCAAATGAGACTATGAAATCACTTCTCACTTATATAATATCATAACATAGTGCTCATTTGTTGAAAATTCAACAGAGAGTATTATCAAATATCATTACTTTTCTGAACACAGATCATAATTCATATAATTTTAATTATGAAAAAAACATAAAATACAAAAAAAAACAAAAAATAAAAAACAAAACAAACACAAGAAAAAATCACATTAAAAAAAAAAAAGAAAAGAAAAAGAAAAAAACAAAAAATAAAAATAAAAAAAATCAAGATCACAGAGTCACAGTATTCTCAAAATACTCACTTCTCAGAGTCTTTGCAATATTCATCATCAACTGTGTATCTCTTACAGTGAGGGTAACACAGCTACAATAAGCTATTGTCTTAACATCATCTAACAAATAATCAGTATATATCTGTATAAATGTGAATAATTAGAAAACATACACTTAAAAAGTGTGATCAGAATGAACTCTGCTGTCACTTGAATAGCATCAAGAACAGAACACTGAAATCAATGATTTCTCTCATCAATTTTATGAACAAGGCATGTGAAGATGATCTTAGAGAATATAAGATTCTCTAACTTCTGATAAAAACAGATCTCACAGAGAGACTCTATTTTCATGATATCAGAGACTGAGTATTATCAAAAAGCATTACTTTCATGCAATGCACATGCACTTACTGCAGTGATTCACTCTCTGCACATGTGACTGAGAGTTGCAGCTTTCTCACACTGCACAGCTCTCTCTGAGATGCTGCTGTCAGTTTGCAACTCACACAGTCTTTCAGTTCAGCATGTGCTGTGTGTATGCAGCCCTGCATACTGGGGCTGTGTTGGTCATTATGGCCTGGCATGGTACTCACTTTTCACAAGCCATGTTTTGTTTGAGAGGGGAGGGAAAGACACAACTGTTGTTTTATTGAGAAGAGGATGAATAATTAGTATTATTGAATTATTTTGATTCATCTGCATTTAAAATTTGATTAGTTTATACTCTTCAATTTGAGGGTTTCTATGAGTGTTTTAATAGTTTTCATACCAGCTTGAACTTAGTGGTGGATTGAAGAAGAAGAGAAAAGAGAGAAGAAAGAAATGAGAATAACTTATCTTTATAATATGAAAACAGAGAATCACTGCAATCATTCTCTCTAGCAATAAAGATCTGTTTTCTGCATGTATCTCTGATATAGATTATATGATAAATGCATACAAAGAATATCAATAGTGCATGTATTGAATGAAGATAATGTTGCTATATAACACTGTAGCTGTTTCTGTACATCTCTGAAAGCTGTTAATAGTTTCTTTGTCTCTTTATGTTTAATAAGTCAATAATATATTCTGATGCACTTTCTCTTTCATCATCATCATCATCATCATCATCATCATTATCATTACTATCATCATCATCATCATCATCATCATTATCACTATTATTATCATCATCATCATTATCACTATCATCATCATCATCATCATCATTATCATCATTATATCATTGCCTGTCTTCATCTCTTCTCAACACTTATCAAAACCAATCATGTCATTTCTCTTCAAATATTCTGCGGTCCTGCGGACCATCAAGGCATGTGAGCACTGTCACAGATTGAAGAGAGAGGAGAAGAAGGCATTCAAGTACAGAGAGACAGATTGCAAGGCATGTTATAATGCCTTGAAGAGGCTCTGTAAGAGAGCAGAATAATAACAATTTTAAGTAATACTTCTAATAGATTTAGACTGAACTAAGTATAGGAATAATGCAGATGATGCTGTCTATGAGAGATTGAAAAAGAAGATAGTGAAGAGTCTCATGCAGCAGCAGTGAAATCAGAAGAAGTTCTGAGAATAATTTGAGATCAAGATGAAGAGAGAGAGAGAGAAGAAGAGTGTTGCTGTAAATAAGTGATGACAGAAGAAGATTGAGAAGATATTGAAGTAGAAGACAAAGAAGTCAAAACTGATAAGTTTTTATTAAGAGATAATAATTTTTGATAATACTTCTGTTCTCTAATTGATTAGCAGGAGCTGACAGAGAAGAAGGGAATTGAGGCCTTGTTCAGGTCTCAAATGCGCTCCATGATTCAGAATATTGAGAAGGCAGCCCTGCTCTCTGAGCATGCCAATCTGCTTGCTACTGAGATGGAACCCGAGGCAGCAGACCAGGAAATGCGGGATTTTGAGGCACAGATTGACCTGGCTGAGAGAGAGCAGCAGAAACCCTTCTCTGAGAAGATAGTGAAGAGAGATTTTGAGATGATTATCATCTCAGATGAGAAGAAGGAGAAGAAGAAGAAGAAGAAGAAGAAGAAGAATGAGAAGTAAATTATGAAGAATAATAAGAAGAATGAGAAAGAGAAGAAGTAGATTTTTTTCTTTTTATATTAGTTAGTTATAAGTTTAAGTTTTTAATTATTAATAATTAAAATTGATTTTGAGTTTTCAAAAATTATTGTACAAGTTGTGATCAAGTCAGGAATGATATATATATATATATATATTTAACTATCATGATTCACAAATCACTATAATGTATAAGTATCAACATTTTTTCAACATTGATATTCATAATATTAATATATTTTTAATAATATCATCTGATAACACAATTTGATAACACTCTCTTTCACAATATTAATATATTTCAAGAAATATGACAGAGATTAATCAAGATTATTTATTTACTTTTATACATCAATGATATCTAATCTGAGTTAGTACTAAAATTATAACTAAGCTAAGAAACAAGATTATTTTCTCTTATATTAATTCTTCTTACACACATCAGTGATCAGTTATTGAAAATAAATTATCATCTTTCTCAAATTATTATCATGTCTTCTAAATTCACTTCTTTCACTTCTTTTACTTCTATTGAAGATTCATAAACTCTTCAAGAAATCACTGTGAATCACAAAGTCTACATTGTTTACAATTCAACACAGAATGCTCTCTTTCAATTATGATAAATGATCACTTCATTCTTCACATCTGATTCCAGGTCACAAAATTTATGAAAAACTCAACACAAATATTGAGATGAACTATGAAATAATTATCAACAGATTGTATTGCAGATTACTGAAGAGTCATCTCTTTGCTGCAATCACTGCAACTTCATTCAGAAATATTCATCATAAACTAATCATAGCTCTGAAGAAATTTCCTGACATCTGAAGTCATCAGAATGCAGATAACAAAAGAAAAATAATCAGAAAATTACTACTGAGCTGGTAAGTTACTCTATCAGATAATGATTTTTGATAATGCTAACTTTCTAATTTGAAGAAAATTATGTGAAAACAATCTCATATCAGTACTCTGATTTCACAACTCTCATCTGATAACTTCTGTGAACAATTACTTTACATGTGTATATCTCTGAATCTTTCTCTTCAATCAATTGAAAACCTTGAATTTCAAACACTTCTTTAAATGCTTAATTCAAATCTTCATATTTCACATTGATTCTGTCTTCAGTCCAACCTTAAGACACACTACAAAGTTAATATGCAACATCTAGAATCAGAGTTGAAGAATCATCAAAGAGTGTCTCTCACAGTGAATGCATGAACTAGTACAAACAATCTTGCATTTATAAGAGTTACATATTATTACATTGATAAGAACTGAACTTATTGAGAGACATTAATTGAATTTGAATCATTGATCAGTAGTCATACTGAGAATTATATGATAGAGATATTAATGACTGTGATTAAAAATGACTATTGAAATATTAGTTCCAGTCTTCTTACAATTATAACTGATAATACTGTGAATAACTACACTATAATGAAGAGCTTGGAGCAAAAATTGGCTTTGCATTCCTGAAATGATAAACAAGGTCATATCCCCTGCATTGCTCATGTGGTTCAACTTGTGATGCAAACACTGATAAAGAATCTTAATATTGAGATGAAGAATAATGAGATGACTGATTCTTGAGATGAGAATGAGATGAAAGTGATTACTCAAGTAACTTTTGCATTCACTTTGTAAAAGATAATGTTTTTTGACAACACTTTTTAATATTGCTTTTTGATAATGCTTTTTGATAACACTACTGTTAATTTTGAATAGATTGACTAATAATTTAAATATCATAGATTTGAAACATTGCTAATACAATTTATACCTCTTCTAAACAATAATAATGATTTCATGATATTCAATAAACAAACAAATCAGTCACATCACTGAATATGATACAGAATGTTAGAACACAGTGAAGTTCAACATATGAGATAACTGTTCAGACTCTTCAATTGTGTCAGATGATTGATCATTAAGTGCAACACTCTGATCAGAAAAAGATCCAGATATTAAAACTTTCTGATATGAAGTGAACTCAGTTGAAATATGTGATTGATTTACTGTTTCAGTTTTATAAGACAACAAAGACAGTCTCAATCACTTGTACATCAATGCTGCAGTCAGCCTGGTGAGTGTATAACAGTTTATTTACTCATCTTGAGAAGCAGTTGAATCACTCAAAAAGAAATTCAGTCTGAGATGATGCTATAGTGCAGGCTATTGTTGCTGCAAGGGATAAACTGACATATTACTACAGCAAAACAGAACAATCTTTTGCAGAGTACTATGCTGTAGCAGCTCTACTAGATCTCTCTCATCAAGTTAACATCTACACTTCTCAAGATTGAACAGAGAAGAAATGAGACTCATATGTCAAATTAGTCTGAGACTACTACAATGCCAACTATCAGAGATTTGAATGAGCAGATGTTTGAGATGTGAAGACAGTGAAATACAATTCCCTAGTAAGTAATGATCTTTGATAACACTCCATATCATATAGAACTATAATACTAACTTTGAAACAGGACTTGCATACATTGATTGCAACCAAAAATCAGGCAAAACTACATGCTTGTAAAACTGAATTTGACTGCTATCTTCAAGATGATCTGACAAATTTACATGTCAAATCAATTCTAGAGTTATGAAAAATTGTTGAGAGTACATATTCAACTGTTGCACTGATGACATGTGATATTCTGACAATTTCATTGACAGGGGTGAGAATGAAGTGAAAGTTCAACTCAAGTTGAGATATTTGTTACTATCATCAGAGACAATTATAAGAAGAAACAATTAAGAAACTCATGATTGTAAAACATGGAATTATCAGACAGTTTAATACCTCTGATCACAGTATATCAGAGAAGTGTAGTTTTTATGAGAAAGTGAAGAATAAACTTGCACAAGAATGTATTTAGTTGTTTCATGAGCATTATCAATAATCATTATCAAATTCTGATTATATAAGCAATCACTGAATGAACTGAATGAGACTGATTTTGATCTTCAGTCTCAGTCTCATTCTGATTTTGAAAGAATGATCATCTTTCACAGTTTATCCTGGAAAATTACTCTCATTTCACTGTTCTTGAATTAAATCTGGTCATTTTTCACACCATTTCTCTCAGAAATGGTCCATTTTCAGATTTTTTTGAGGCTTGGTCCTGTTGAGACTCACGTCAAGAAATGTATGGGACCAGACCAAATGAGATCAAATGTGAAATTCATGGTCCCGCCGGCCAGTCTATAAGAGCCTCTGTGATATTTGTGAAGAAGAAGAATAAAGATCTCAGATTGTGTGTAGACTACTGTGACCTGAACTTCAAGATAATAAAGAGCTGCTACTCTCTGTCTCTGATTGAGAATGTGATCAACTGTCTCACAGGAGCTGTCATATTCATACAACTGAATGTGATCAATATATATACACAGCTGTGAATACAGTCTGAGAATGAATAAAAGACTGTCTTTAGAACTGTACTGAGATTATTTAAATATCTAGTGATATCTTTTGATCTGATTAATATCTCTGCAGTATTTCAGTCTTTCATCAATAAAACACTTTATACATATCTAAATGTCTTTGTGATAATATATCTGAATGATGTGATAATATACTTTATAAAGAAGAAAGAACACACTGAGCATGTGCAAAGTGTGTTGAAGATCTTAGATAAGACAGAACTGTATATTAAACTCATGAAGTACAACTTCAGTGTCTGCTGAATTAATTTTCTAGAATATGTAATCACTGCAGATGATATTCAGATGAAATCTTCATGAATTAAGACTATTCTATCATGACTGAAGTTAACTAGTATTCATGAGATTCAGATCTTTCTGAGTTTTGTGAATTTCTATAGATAATTTATCTTTGTATTTATAAGAATCTTCTTAACTCTTATAGATATACTGAAGAGTGAAAATAAGAAGAAGTCATTCTGTGAACAGAGAATGAAAAGATTGTTGAGAAGAAAGAACTGTGAGAACTTTCTTATCTCAGAAGCTCACAGAGTCTTTACAAGATTGAAACAGATATTTACAGACACAGTAATACTGTTTCACTTTGATCTCTTGCTCTTAACTAGATTAAAGACAGATGTCTTCTTCTTTACAATTTCAGAAATAGTCTTATAACTACAGTTAAATAAGAACTGAGTTTCAGTGACCTTTTTCTTATGAAAGATGCAATCTGCAGAGATTAACTATAGCATTTATAATCAGAAGCTTCTTATAATAGTGAAATTCTTCTATCACTGATGTCATTACTTCAAGAACCTCACAACAGTGATTACTGTTAGAACTGATTATAACAGTTTATAACAGTTTACTTCAATCAAGAAACTCTCACAGCAGCAGATTTACTGAGCTCAGAGACTGAGTGAGTTCTGATTCAAGATAGAATATATCAAGAAAACTAAGAACTCAGTGAATAAACTCTCTCACAGACCAGACTATGTTAAGAAGATCAGAGTAACAGATACAGAGAGACTAGAGAAGATAGAAAAGCTTCACAGAATACTTAGACTGAGTGTTACAAAGAGATTGACTGAAGAGTCTCTCAATTCTCTGTAAGAGAAGAGAGCTAAGAGAGAAGAGAAGCCTGTACAACTACTCTCTATAATACTGAGAGTCAACACTCTGAGAATCTCTGTAAGAATTCTTGAAGAGAGTATCTATAATCTGAGAGATTTGCAGACTTTAAGAAGTGCTATGAAAGATCTGATGTAAGGAAAAACAGAGTATAAGTCTTTGTAAGATCTTCTATTCAGATTGTCTGAACTATAACTGAAGAATGAATATGCTCAGCATATTTAAAAACTGCTCACAGCAGAAATCAACTCTGCAGAAATAAAGAGTTGAAGAGACTTAAATAATCTCTTATGAAGAGAGAACTGAATTTATATGCCTATGAATAAGTTTCTATGTATAGAACTCATCAAAAGATATTATAACTCTTCTCTAGTGAGTCATTTTACAGATACTAGAACTCATAAGTTACT